GCATCAGAGGAGCAGGAAAGCTGACATTTCGGATCTGGACCCTTCTTCAGAAAATGGTGCAGACCCGAAACGTCAGCTTTCCTGCTCCTCTGATACTGCTTGGCCTGCTGTGTTCATCCAGCTCTACACCTTGTTATCTCAGATTCTCCATCTTCGGCAGTTCCTACTATCTCTGTTTAGAATAGCTAGGTGCTTGTTTTTGACTAAGCAGACTTGATGGTCCGAAGAGTATTTTTCAGTGGTGTAGACCTGTATGACCAAGACTCTATGTTTGATGGAGACAGATGAATCACAAAAAGGAACTTCACTCTGTATCTAAACCCATACTTTATCTGTTCTGGGAGTGTTTGATGAGGACAGTGTAGAGGAGCTTTACTCTGTATCTAACCCCGTTCTATACCTGTCCTGGGAGCATTTGGTGGGGACAGGGTAGAGGGATCTTTACACTGCATGTAAGTTGTGTAAAGTATGGGGCCCGCAGGCATCAGAGAGTTGAAAGTTAAAGGAATGGCCAACTGTACATGGGTAATGATAACTAGAGGTTGAGAGAAATGAATTCTGCATTTCTTTTAATTATAGATGAGATATGAACTATCATGAGAAATGATCTTGATTCTGGAGGTCAAAATGTAAAATAAGTGTGGATGGAGGTAAGAAATAGCAAGACAAAGAAGTCATTGGAGGGAGTGGCTATAGGTCCCCTATCAGTAATTATATTATATATCAGAGCATACAATAAGAAATAATGAGAGTTTGTGAAAATGGTATTGTTTTGGTACTAAACTGCCAGAGTCTGACCTTCATCTAGATTGGAAAAGTCAAAATGTCAAATGAAGACTTGAGGATGGGTTTGTAGAGCACGTTCTAGACAGTGTCTTAAAATAATACATTGTGGAACCAGCCATGGAAGATGCTACTGTAGATCTGATAATGTAAAATGAAATATGATTAACTGATGATCTCATAGAAAGGATTCAACTGGGGAAGAGCCATCATAACATGAGGAATTTCACATTCAGTTTGTGAATGAGAAACTTGGATCTGAAACCAATGTCTTAAACATAAATAAAATTATGAAGGAAGAATTTGTTAAAGTAGACTGGGAAAATTGATTAAAAAGATAAAAGAGCAGATCAACAGAGGCAGATCTTTCAGGAGACATTTCATAATTCTCAACTAAGGTATATTCTGTTGAGAAAATATCTACAAAATGAATGAACCATCCATGACCAACAAAGATGGTTAACAAGAGGTGTTAAACTAAAACAAAAGACATACATTACTGTGCAGAATACAGGTTTGCCTGAGGGTTGGGAACATTTCAGAAACCAGAAAAAAGAAACATAACAATTAAACATATAAAGATATAAAATAGGGGCAGAAGGAGGAAATTTGGCCCTTTCAGTCTGCTCTGGCATTCAATATAACTATGATGATTAATCCAAACTAATGCCTTGTTTCTGCTTTCTCCTCAAACCCCTTAATCCCTTTAATCCTAAACACTATATCTAATTCTTACTTAAAAAGATTCAATATTTCGACTTCAAGCACCTTCTCCCTTTCCTAGAGAGTAAGGCTGGGTAATTAACAATAGGAAACACAGTGATGGCAAAGATATGGAACAAAAATGAGCAATGTGCTGGAATCTCAACTATTTACAATTTCCATAAATGAGTTAGGTGAAGGGATGGAAGGAATGGTTGCCAAATTTGCTGATGACACAAAGAAAGTAAGTTGTGAAACGAACCTATTAATATCTTTTCTAACCTGTTTTGACTGAGTAAGCAAAGATGTGGCACATGAGTTGTAATGTGGGAAAATGTGATAGTGTCCATTTTGGCAGGAAGAATCAAAAAGAAGCACATTATCTAAATGGTGAGAGGTTGTAAAGCTCGAAGATGCATAGGGATATGGGTGTTGTGTATGATTCATAAAAGGTCAGTATGTACGTAAAGCAAATAATTAGGAAAGCTAATAAAATGTAATTATTTATTGCAAAGAGAACTGAATGCAAAATTAGGGAAGCTATGCTTCAGTTAAACAGAGCACTGGTGGAACCACATCTAGAATACTGAGCACAATATTGATCAACTTATTTAAGGAAGGATGTAAAAGCATTATAGGGAGTTTAGAGAAGGTTGACTAGACTAATAGGGTGCAGGTCTGGATGAACACAGCAGGCCAAGTAGCATCATAGGAGCAGAGAGGCTGACGTTTCGGGCCTAGACCCTTCATCAGAAAAGGAGGAGGGGAAGGGGGTTCTGAAATAAATAGGGAGAGAGTGGGAGGCGGATAGAAGATGGATAGAGGAGAGGATAGGTGGAGAGGAAACAAACAGGTCGAAGAGGCGGGGATGGAGCCAGTAAAGGTGAGTGTAGGTGGGGAGTTAGGAAGGGGATAGGTCAGTCCAGGGAGGATGGACAGGTCAAGGGGGCGGGATGAGGTTGGTCGGTAGGAGATGGAGGTGCGGCTTGAGGTGGGAGGAGGGGATAGGTGGGAGGAAGAACAGGTTAGGGAGGCGGGGACGAGCTGGACTGGTTTTGGGATGCGGTAGGGGGAGGGGAGATTTTGAAACTTGTGAAATCTTCCTCCGTTACATTGATGACTGTATCGGCGCTGCCTCGTGCTCCCATGAGGAGCTCGAACAGTTCATCCACTTCACTAACACCTTCCACCCCAACCTTAAGTTTACCTGGACCATCTCTAACACCTCTCTCCCCTTCCTGGACCTCTCTGTCTCCATATCCAACCACCTAGAAACCGATATTCATTTCAAGCCCACCGACTCCCACAGCTACCTAGAATACTCCTCCTCCCACCCACCTTCCTGCAAAAATGCCATCCCCTATTCCCAATTCCTTCGCCTCTGCCGCATCTGCTCCCAGGATGAGGCATTCCACTCCCGTACATCTCAGCTGTCCTCGTTTTTCAAGGACCGTAACTTCCCCCCCTCGGTGGTCGAGAACGCCCTCAACCGTGTCTCCCACATCTCCCGCACCTCATCCCTCACACCCCATCCACGCAATAAGAACCAAAAAAGAATCCCCCTCGTCCTCACGTACCACCCCACCAACCTCCGGATCCAACGCATCATCCTCCGACACTTCCGCCATCTGCAATCCGACCCCACCACCAAAGACATCTTTCCCTCCCCACCCTTATCTGCTTTCCGGAGGGACCACTCTCGCCGTGACTCCCTTGTCCGCTCCACACTCCCCTCCAGCTCCACCACACCCGGCACTTTTCCCTGCAACCGCAGGAAGTGCTACACCTGCCCCCATACCTCCTCCCTCACCCCCATCCCAGGCCCCAAGAAGACTTTCCACATCAAGCAGATGTTCACCTGCACATCTGCCAATGTGGTATACTGCATCCGCTGTACCCAGTGTGGCTTCTTCTACATCGGGGAAACCAAGCGGAGTCTCGGGGACCGCTTTGCAGAACACCTACGATCGGTTCGCAATAAACAACTGCACCTCCCAGTCACGAACCTTTCAACTCCCCCTCCCATTCCTCAGACGACATGTCCATCCTGGACCTCCTGCAGTGCCACAACGATGCCACCCGAAGGTTGCAGGAACAGCAACTCATATTCCGCTTGGGAACCCTGCAGCCCAATGGTATCAATGTGGATTTCACAAGTTTCAAAATCTCCCCTCCCCCTACCGCATCCCAAAACCAGTCCAGTTCGTCCCTGCTTCCCTAACCTGTTCTTCCTCCCACCTATCCCCTCCTCCCACCTCAAGCCGCACCTCCATCTCCTACCGACTAACCTCATCCCGCCCCCTTGACCTGTCCGTCCTCCCTGGACTGACCTATCCCCTCCCTAACTCCCCACCTACACTCACCTTTACTGGCCCCATCCCCGCCTCTTCGACCTGTTTGTTTCCTCTCCACCTACCCTCTCCTCTATCCATCTTCTATCTGCCTCCCACTCTCTCCCTATTTATTTCAGAACCCCCTGCCCCTCCTCCTTTTCTGATGAAGGGTCTAGGCCTGAAACGTCAGCCTCTCTGCTCCTATGATGCTGCTTGGCCTGCTGTGTTCATCCAGCCCTGCACCTTGTTGTCTCGGATTCTCCAGCATCTGCAGTTCCTGCTATCTCTGACTAGACTAATACTTGCAATGGGTGGGTTGTCGAATGAGAATTGGATGAAAAGGCAAGGCTTTTATCTGCTGGAGTTCAGAAGAGGAAAAGGTGACTTGATTGAAATATGAAAGGTTCTGATAGTCTTGACAAGGTAGACATGGAGAGAATGTTCCTTCTTATGGGAGAACCTAGAACTGGAGTCACTGTTTAGAAATCAGGTGTAACCCGTTTAAAATAGAAATTAAGTGAAAGTTGTTCTATCAGCAAATAGTGACTCTTTGGAACTTTTTTCCTGAAAAGTTGGTAGATGCAGAGTCGTTAAGTATTTCTTAAGCTAGAGGTAGATAGGTTTTTTATAAGCAAGGGGTGAAAGGTTATCAGGTCTGGAGAAATGTGGGTTTGAGGATTCAATCAGGTCAGCCATAATTTTACCGAATGGTAGAGCAGGCTCAAGGGGCTGAATGGCCTACTCATGTTCCTGATTTATATGTTTGTAACTGAAGACTGCTTCTGCTCCTACATGTGGATGTAACAGATTCTAGGATATCACTTTGGAGAACAGCAGGCAAATTCTCTCCAGTATCTTGGCCAATATTTATCCATCAATTCATGACCAGAAGAACAGATAAACTGGTCACTATGTCATTGCTCTGAGTGAAATTTTGTTGAGTGCAAATTGGCTACCATGTTACTTATGTTTTAACAGTAAATACACTGAACAAGTACATCATTGGTCATAAATGCATTTCGGTTTCTGGTGGTTGTGAAAAGCAACATATAAATGCAAATCTATCTCTGTTTTCACAGATAGATGCTGCCTGCCTATTGTCCAGAATATTGCATTAAGCAATTTAATATTGATAGGTTGCTCCTGATGACATTGTTTAATATCATGTTGGGTGGTTTTCAGGGTGGTGATGAAGTGGAAGCATATCAGATTGAGTGTCAGAAATCTGGAATGTGGAGTAGCAGTATTCCTACATGCAAAGGTAAGATATGTTCACACAGAATTACCATGACATCTTAAAACAGAGACCTTTAGATATGAAGCAGCATCAGTAACCCTTTCATGTACCACCAGGACATTGGTGCACAAGTTCCTCCACAAAGGCTTATCCATCTTCAGCTGCTTCATCAATGACCTTACCTCCATCATAAGGTCAGAAGTGAGGATGTTCACTCATGTTTGCACAAGGTTCAGTACCATTCACAAATCCAGACCCGGACAATATTCAGGTTTGTACTGATAAATGAAAAGTGAGATACAAGCCATGCAATGACCATCTCCAACAAGAGAAAAATGTAAAATAGGAATCCTACAGCGAGTAACTCACATCTTGATTTCCCGAACTCCATCTACAAGGCATAAGTCAGGAGTGTGATGGAGTACTCTCCAGTTGCCTGCTCCAACAACACTAAACACCATCCAGGACAAAGCAGCCCACTCACCCACAAACATTCACTCCCTCCACCACTGATGCTGAGTAGCAGCAGTGTGTAGCACCTACAAGATGCACTGCAAAAATTCAGCAAGGGTCTTTAGACAACACCTTCCAAACCTATCTAGAAAGACCAGCACAGCAAATACATGGAACACCACTCTTTGCAAGTTACCCACACAGTGACTGACTGATTTGTGGCTTCTTCTGTCTCTCTGTTATTTCTGCAGTTCAATTGTAGGTCAACAACAATTTTTTTCTTCTTTTCTCCTTTTTTAACTCACTGAATCACCCCATCTCTTCACATCTAGGGTAATGAAACAATATGAAAACAAATCTCCAGACCTCTCACTACCCAGGCTAAAGAAACAACTCTAACAATGAGCTAAAACCATGCCTCCACTTTTTAGTACAAAAAGAGCAAATTAAGTGAAAAGTTGTACATTGCCCCAAACGTGCCTTGCAGGAACAAAATATGAAAAGATATCTTTCAGTTTTTATTTTCAGTTTCTATTCCAATCTCTTAAGAGCTATTTCTACTTCACTTGGTTTTACTTTAATAGCAACGTACTTCCATCAAGTGACCAAGGACTTACCATAAAATCATATTCTACTCAAGTCCATTTTGGATGTGACATTCTTGTTCTTCCATTTGTGTGTTAAGTAAAGCATCTGCTGCATTATATTCTGTTCCAGCTAGATAGATAATTTTCAGGTTGTATAGTTATAGCATTAGACGCTAATGAAATAGTCTCAAATTTTTCCTATTAAGTGTTGTGACAAAGTTTAGAGGATTATGGTCTGTATAAGTAATGCAGTGGTCACTGCATCTTTCTAGCTGTCAAAGGCATGCTGACACTGCTTTGTCCACTCAAAGTTCTTGCCTTTCTTTAATAAACCTGTTAAAGGAGCCAGAACTATGCTGAAATTCAGAGTAAACTTGCAATAAAATCCACTTGTGAATATATACCATAAAATCTCCTATTTTGTCTCAGGAACTGGAAATTCCAAAATTTTTTTCTCCTCTAGGTGCTACATGGCTTTCACAGTGTTGTCCAAATAAGTTACCACTGCTTTGGCAAATTTACTGTGAGTCATGTTTATGACTAATTTGGCCGTTTGTAGCCAATCAAACATTTTATTCAAGTGCTGTTGGTCATCCTTCCAGGTTTGGCTAAACACAAATTATCAATAAGTACAACACAATTCCAATATCCTTCAGTGTTCTT